ATGTTGACTGTGGTAACTGGTAGTAATTGTATTTACCTTATTTTAACGAGGTACTGCAATCAGCAGACATCATTGGAGAGGAACAGAGCAAACAGAGGCCACTGAAAAGTGCAGGGGCCTGTGCTTGCGATTGATTGAGTGAGAGTGAGGGCGGGGCCTTTATTTTGCGGCTTTACTTCCTGCTCACGACTGCGCATGTCTGGTCCCAAAAACGCAAGTGCGCAGAGTCCCAAGTCCCAAGATGTCAGCGCCTATGGGACACTGGCGGCTTCAGCTCTCTACAATGGAAAAGAGTGAAGGGGCGTCGTCCATCTTATTTAACACTAGAAGTGCCAGAATTCCAAAACTACTAGAACGGCCACAAACGGTCATTTTGACCGTTAGATTCAAAACAGTCTTTATTTTGTTGACAAATAATTTTCGTATTTATTTTAGTCAACCACATTTTTTCAAAGACGAAAACGAGACGATAACTAAATAAAAACTAGGTTTGAATGACAAAAACTATAATGAAAATGTTAGATAGTGACGATTTGCGAAGCGGTCAATAGGCTAATAATAATAATAGGACTAGCAGAACTAGTGAACAGCCCATGCAGCAACACAAACAGCGCAGGACAGGGCAGCAGAGCTCACCAGGATCATCCGACATGAATGGAACGGATCCGCCGTGTCTGATGATAGCTGCTGTCTCTTTTTCCTTGATGTGGACTCTGACTCTGATTCACTCTCTGATGAGGAGGAAATGTTAACTTGCACCCAGGAAACTCTCACTACTGAATCACAGTGTAAGGCAAGGCTATTTAATATGGAAGCATATGGGTAGCAATATTCAATTTGAAATGTAATGTAATGAAATGTTTGTTTGCATTTGATTAGTAATCTTAAAATATTTGTTTGTATTAGTCTGATGTCTTAATGGAATGAAAATGTCTTGCATGTTTAAAAATAAACATGAGGATCAGTCAAAGATGCCAGAGTTTTAGTTTCTGTGTGAACTATTCCCTTAAAATGCCAGAAAGTGCCTCTTGTTTGCTACCTCAGAAATTGGCCGTTGAGACTGTGTTTGTATGTGTCTCAGTCTGTGTTAGAGAGAAGAGAGAGACACTGTGATTTGACTGGACATTACCCAGACAGCGAACTGACATTGAATCAATGTGGAAACGACGTCTATCGTGACATCGAAACAACGTTGATTTTGCTCATCGAATTAACGTTGAACCAACATCAGACGCAGCATTCTTCAAAGCTAAATGAAAATGGATAATTGGTTTGCTTTCATAACGTTGAAACAACGTTGATTTTAAGTTGATTTTCCGTTAGTTTTGAAAGAATGACACGTCTGACGTTGGTTCAACGTTAATTCGATGAGCAAAACAATGTCAGATCAACGTTGTTTCGATGTCATATTTCCATGTTGATTCAATGTCAGTTTGCTATCTGGGTAGATGCCCGTCAAAAGGCTCAAGAGGAAATGGCACACTGACGTTAATTAAAAAACTGAGGGGAATGCCACCTTTGAACCACATTAACACAGTAATTGAATTTTTAATAGGCAATGGCATGTCACCATACAAAACTTGAGAAAAGTTGAGAAAATTAAAGTTGAAGAGTCTCCCCTTTCTCTTTCAGAGGGTTTCATGTTAGCACACAGCTAACTGGCTCCATTATCAGCCTGTTTGGGTTTGTTCAAAACGCAAGACATAGGCTGTGGAATGGGGAAAAAATGCAAGGTGTCAAGAAGTGTTTTTTAAAAGTTGAACTGATTTTAACTTGAGCGCCGTGTTTTTAGTATGCCTTGTCACTACTGAGATGCTGCAAAAGACGTGAGCACAACGGTTATACACGTCCGTCTAGCGTGTGTTTACATAGAAAAACTATTAAAAAAAAGTAATGCATTGGAAAGGAAAAATTAGTTCTGTGTGAACGGACCCTTATTTTATTACTGCAGCCACCTCCACCTGCCACATTCCATCACATCATCACGTCATGGAAATAAAGCTGCATTGCGCTCCTATTAAAACACATGGCAATATTAAGTTGAGTTGAGTTCAGCTCTACCTCTGCATGCAGTATTGATCACCATGGTGACATTTAAAACAATTAAAATTTCTTTCAAAAACTCCTTTTCTGCTAAATCATGTTTACTCTCTGACCTCATGAACAGAAATATATCATGAAACATAAATGACCAAGTGAATCATTAACAAACTTTTTCAAGAAAAGAAAATCTGAAGAATAAATCCACTCAAATGACTTCTACGTAAGTGCATCAGTAGCAGATTCCTCATATAGCATATTGGATTACAGCCCATTCTCACCCCCAAGGCGTCACTTAACTGACGCCTTGGGAAGCATTTGGACATGCTTCAATATCTGACGCTTTAGGCGCCCTTTAGCGTCAGTAAGATGACGCCCTAGGATCGCGTGTACCCTACCCCCACCCCACACCTAAACCTAACCGCGTCCTCTAACTGACGCTTTCCTTTAGCGTCAGTTAGATGACGCCGTAGGATCGCGTCATGTAAGTGACGCTAAAGGGTGCCTAAAACGTCAAATATTGAAGCATGGTCAAAGGTGACGCCTTGGGGTGAGAATGCGTTGTGGATTAGATTAGATTTAACTTAAGTACAGCAATGAAATTATCTAATTAGAACTGCAAATTGTACGATATCATATAAAAATATTAGGCTATAGTAAAATGCAACTGACACAAGTATAATGGAAATTAATACTGCAGTGCAGAATATCTTTTATAATGTGGTAATTCTATAGTAAAACGTTTTATTTTCAAATAAATTAATACTTTTATTTGGCAATGCAATAAAAATGAGCAGGGACATGCAGGAACATGTTTGTGTTCGCCATTTTCAAAAGATGGCGTCGCCCATACCTGCATAAATGGCCTCAAAACCATTAAAGTATCATAAATTTAGTGCGTGTGATATCAGACAGTTAATTCAAGTATTTTAAATTATTATAAACATTTTATATAAAGGTTTTAATATATTTTAAAAAGTAATTTATTTCTTTGATGACAAAGCTGAACTTTCAGCATCATTACTCATTACACAAGAAAAGGTTTTATATAGAACCTTAAAAGGTTCTAAAGCGCTAAGTATTTGGAACCCCTAAAATGCAATGCATGTGAATGATCACAAAATTCATTATTCATATGGAGGTTAAAAAATATAATAATCAATATCACACGAAGAGTGACATTTCAGTTTTTATCCTCCAAAAATCAGCATGATTAAAATGTGACATTAATTTATTACAACAGTTTAATAAACAATAACTTAATTACAACTATAAAATGTTGCAGAATAATGTAATATATGAATGGATAATAGCCTATAAAGAACCTTTGTGCCAAAATGGTTCTTTCTTTACATTATAGAACCTTTTTTAGCATAAAAGTTCCTTTGGAGTTGAGTAAAGAACCCTACGCTATACAGTATATATAGAACCCCAAATGAACCCTTTTTTCTAGTATTCAGTGCCTTCATAAATCATTCTAATGCTGCTGATTTGCTGCTCAAGAAACATTTCGTATTATTATCAATTTTGTATAAAATATTTTTGTGGAATCTGTGATACATTTCTTTTCAGGATTCTTTGATGAATAGAAACTTCAAAAGCACAGCATGTAATTGAAATAGTAAAATGAAATGTTAATTAGCAGGGTTATGCAAAATGGCTGAAATTTAGATGAAAAACATTTTAGTATCATTTTATAATATACTTTTGGAATCACACACTAAATAACATTTAAATCTAATCAACTAATGCAATTAAGTTTCTTTTAAATTATATGTCTTAGGGGCACAAATGGCACCATTTACAGAGGATAAGCTGTATTCTTTGAGAAGCAGTGAGTCAGGAATCCAATTCACGAGTTAAATAAACTCACGTATGTCTCTGGGCTCCTGTCTGTGGAGAGAACAAAGGAGTTTGGCTGGTTATATCATTGCTGTCCCAGCAGACAGAGCTCAGTGGCTTAAGTACAGCATGTCCTATTCCCGTCCCCCTATTCTGAGATACAGCTGGTCTCCTCTTCAGCATACTCATTTCTCTCAACCACCTCACAAACTCTGTCACATACACACAACAACATGCTTCAGAGCCACAGACATAGATTAATGTCACAAGTGTGTCATACAAATGAGGCTTAATTAATGGGCCTTCCCTTTGTGCAATTAATCAGTTTCAACATCAATTAATTAGATTTAGATGAGTGAGGGAGGCAATGACTGATGCTGTTGTCTCAGAGCCTGTGCTGTCTGATAATACTTCACCCATAATCTGTGACCCTCTAACTACCACTTTATCAAATAGGCCTACCACATTTCCATTATTGCTGTTTTCATAAATCTTGTTGGGCTACTGTCAGGGCTGGACAGTTTTGTGATATTGGTTGCCATTTTTGTTGGCAGAATGATTATTTGCCTTTATGTGTAGTCCTGGAAATGTAGCCTCCGTTTCTTCGCTATTGTTCTTCCTGAACTCCCTCCGGCCAGGATCAGTATAGCTGGTCCCCAGCAAGCGTTGTTTTTGATGCTGGTGTTCCCACCATGGTGGCTGTTCTGATATACATCATAGGGCCGTTAAATATTTTTGTGGACTGTGGGGGCCTTGATATCAAAAAGGTTGAGAACCACTGCTGTATAAAATATCTACATTCTAATTGCATACTATACTGTAAAAATTATTTCATAAGAATGCTGTTCATGAATGCAAAATGGTTACGGCATCTGACCTCAATCCCAACTATGCTTCCTTAACAAGCAAGATCACCTTTCTCAACCAGCTTTACCAACACTCTGTGGGTTGACCAGCATTTGCTGCTGATCAGTATGGCTATGCTGGTCCAGCATCCAAACCAGCATAGAAATTAATGTTTTTTCAGAAGGGGTCATCACAGTTCAATAATATTTTATAAATTAAGTAATTTAACTAATTCAACTATAAATGAATTAAAATCTTCAACCTTTTCACAGGCAAATCACGATTGAGGAAGGCGAGCAGCGGGCCAAAGAGTTGAGTGTGATGTTTATCGAGACCAGTGCCAAAACGGGCTACAACGTCAAACAGGTACGTTTTACCTCACCACCTTGTTCTGTCAGCGGGAAGAGCGCACGGTGCACAGGCACGATGTGTGGGTGTGAGAAACGCTCTCGTTCATTCGGATTTCTCTTCTGAGGTGCAGTTGAAAGCATAATTCCGGATGACTAAGCGCCGAGGTGGGAGAGATCAGATGTGACGCAGAGCTCTGCTGTGTTTTCTCTCTCTCTCTGTCTCTCCGAGAGCCGGAAGTGCGTACTGCACACTGTGTGTGTTTTGTGGGCTAAGTTGTGTGTGTGTTTGTGTGTTAGCATCAGCTCTGTCTGACTAGATCACAGACTGATGGTCGTTTTGTCCCTCTTCTGTTAGAATGATTAAGCTTTGCTTCTTTTTGTCAAGTGTCATGTAATTAGTTAAGTACAAAAGTTCTTTTGGTGTCTCTTTTAGTGATAAAGAGAAGATCAGATTTATTTTTATGAGTTTTCTAATTTCAACAATCTTTAAAATGAAGCAGTAAGACACTAATTAAAGTCTGTTACAATGCACTGCATTAAAGTAATTTTAGTGCAGGTAAGGGATGTCTGACATGACAAAAAATAAAGTAAAATTGTAATTAGCAAATTGAAACAATGATTGTGTTAATAAAAACGGAAAATTATTTTTATTTTTATCTTATTTTTAATTCATAGTACCCTCTTGGGCCCTCTGGGGTTTGAAAAGTTTGAAAACCCCTGTACTTTGAAAATAGATAGCAAAGTCCACTAATGAGTTACAATTATGCACAATGAGAGCATATAATGTTTTTGTGTTAATCATGGTAAAAACATAATAATAATAATAATAAAAAAAAAAACACAAATGAAGATTGTTATTCTACACATGCGTTTTCTTTCTCAACTGTTTATATTCACTTAAAACATTCCTAACTGTGTTTATGTGAATACTTTCGAAGAATGGCATTGATATTATTTTGAGTGTATTTTGACTGTTTAAGTGCAATAAGCAGCGAAAAAGAACTCAATTTAGTCTTGAGAGGTTCCTTTAAGAGCACACTTTGTGTGTGAGCACAAAATCTGCTAGAATGAGACAAGTTATACGCATTACATTCAATGAAATCCCATGCCAAAACTCAAAAGGCAGGTAAAAACCCAATAAATTCATTAAGCATCTTACATTTCTGGATATTTAAGACAGGTTGGTATATAACTGTATTGTACTAATATTGAACTACTTCTATACAGGTGTGTGTTTTTTCACATGCCATCATGACTTTTGCGTAAACATACACGCCACTTTCAAGTCAAGTGGCGTGTTATCTATACTCATTTTGAGCTATCCGCGTGTATGCGTGCATGTCTGCGCCGTTAAATGTCCGAGTGATTCCGCGTGTATGTACACGCCGTTAAATGTCCGAGTGAAACAAAGCAAAATGTAGATCTACATCTGGGGAGCGAGATTTTTTTTCTTAGGATGGTAGGGGAAAACCAGAGAATGTCTAATTGAAGAGAATTGGCACTGGCTGGTTACTTCCGGTTTCTGGACTGGCTGCAGTAACACGTCTCTGTCCATGCGGGGGCGCTCGCTGTCGAGTGCAGAATGAATGGGAGTCAATGGGGTTTCACCCCCAGAAATCCACTTTTCTCAGGATGTAATTTTTTGTCAAGTAATTTGAAAGTTTCATTCAAAGGGGAGGGCTAAGACAATACTCTCAGCTGAAAATTGCATTTTTAAGTTCACTTATCTGTTATAAAAGTCCGTTCAAAAATGTGATGACGTCACACAATAGCAGAATGCTAGCGTGTTCCGGCCAACAACAACCTAACCTGTAAGAAATTGAAAGGACATAAGTACTCGTTCATTCGACTTTTGGCCTATAATCTATAATGAACTTGCGGAATCAACAATACAATCTGTTGATTCAACGACAAGCAGGAGAAAGAGACACATTTAGCCGTTTAGCCCCATAGACTCCCATTCATTCTGCACTCGCCCGTGATCACCTCCAGTGGAATTCTAATGGAACTGCAACCAAGATGATACACAATGGGGCTAATAGGAAGTGCCAAGGCTCTCCGTTAGACGGGCTCTGGGAAAACTCATAAACGCTATTAACCCCAGTGACGGGTAGGTTTAGGGGCGGGGTTGGGGTAGGTCATATATTTATACTGTAATGTAACGTTAAATCAACGGCGTTCATAAACACACCGAAAAGCGGTTATGCATGTTGATAGCACGCCAAAAATGGAAATACGAATTGGCGTGTCATACACACGCCATTTCATGAGATCAGTCTGGTTTTTTACTGCAAAACAGCTTTGAAAACAAGTCATACAATCAGAATTTAGAGGCTCTCCATTTTACAATTAGAGTTTAAAACTTGAAAATGAGGCTATACTGTCATTCTCCAAAACTACGAGTGAGTTATATTATTGTGCATTGTTCCATCAGCTGTATTGGACACTGAGCCTTCATTCTTCTTAAAGCCATGTATCCCTCACAGGAGCTCAGCACTGACAGTACAACCCTAAATCTCTGACACAACATGTTATTGGCACCAGATATGGAGCTGACTTGTTCCAGTCTCCATTACAAATTGAGATAATTTCCAAGCCTTTGCATTGTAACGTATGTGTGTGGCTGACTGGAGCACATGTTTGTTTGCACTTTTGATTATGTGAGCTCTACAGCAGGGAGCTGCATTCATCTGAGATTACGATCAATACTAAAATTTTCTTATTTATTTCTCCAATAACAGCAGCATTATAGTTTAACTGATTACCTCGCAGAGGTAATTGCAAAATAATGACTCAAATATTGATTGAAGAATTGCAGGGTGTCAAGTTCTTTCCAGGATAAAATTGAACTCTTGTATAAATAATACAATATTAAACATGTTTGGATAATAGTTATAATAGAGTTATTTGCTGTTTAACAGTCTTGCATTGCTATAATTTTTAAGAATATGAAGTTTCATTTGCATAGCAAGAACATTCAGTTCGTGCTTTGGTGTATAATAAAGCTATTCATTTTCTTCTACAGTTCTACAGCTGTTTTGTTTTTACATTGTTAAAATGCAAACATATTTCTGATTGGATTTTCTGTCGGTTAAACTGGTGTTGTAGTATTTATAACTAAAGGTCAATGGAATGTGAGCGTTTCTAAAATGTTGTCTATTATTACACGTCTAAAAGACTTGATTTTGATTGGTCAGTGATACTCAGCTGTCAGACATTTGTGCATAAAGGGATGGTAAAAAAAAAAAAGTAAATTCTGTCATCAAGTTCTTATTCTCATGTCATTCCAAATCTGTAAGAATGAATGTGGAACATTTAAATATCATATTTTGAGAAATGTAGGTTGGTTGCCAATATTCTTCAAAATGTCTTCCTTTGTGTTTTGCAGAAGAAAGAATGCTTACAGGTTTGGAACAACAAGAGACTTGAGTAAATTATGACAGAGTTTGTATTAATAGGTGAAATGTTAAGACTTAAAATGTCTGTTTTCAGATCAGGAATCCACAAGTGATCATGAAATTTGACCTGAATGAGAGTTTAAAATCTCTAAAATGGTAAAAGATGTTGTAACTAACTAACAACAGTAGCTACAAATATGTTAGCTAACTCTTACACAGTTGTGTTATGCTAGCAGCTACAAACCAGGAACTCGTGTTCACCCTTCTGAAAGGTAAAATGAAAAATGTGACACCGTATGATCTTGTATGAGTTCACGGATGCATGAAGCCTGTAAGTCAACATTAAGTGCTCTATTTGGTACAGGGTCTGTCTCTGTCTTTCTTAAATGGAATGGTTTTGTGTGCCTTTGTTTTTGTCCCAGCTACATTTAAACATTTTATGGCTCTCTCCTGTCAAAAACAATGGCCTGAAGGTAGTTAACAAAATGAGTAGTTTTTTTTTTCTGGCCCTCTCTGCCTAATGGTCCAGTCTGCCCCATTTCCCCATGGCTTGTCTATTGTGATTGAAGACATGAAATGAGAGGGGTGGCGTTGGCTACATAAGCTAACTGCCCTGTTTGGTATGATTGGGAGTGAGTGGTGCTATTTATCATTGCCATATAGCCTCATATAGCTTCTGGGAACGGCCTCTTTATAGAGGATGGCTGTAATGGAGGTGTGTGGTGGGCCATTAATTGCCCTGCTAGGAGCGGGACGCTAGCAATGCATTGCAAGTTTCAGAAGGAAGAACCAGGCTAAGTGCTTTTTGCTGTTCCTTTATCATATTCTACACAGAGTCCACTTCAAAGGTCAGCAGATGTTTTAGTCGGTGACATTAATGTTTCTGAAAAGAATTGGTTGCATGGGATCTTCATTTCTATTAATATATACAGTATATTAAAGGACATGTCTGCTTCAATACACATGAGAAAGTCCACTTTGCTCCAAGTCTCTTTTTACTGGTTTAAAAATTGGATCAGATCATATTTTCTGCCAGAAAGCTGTATAGTATGACAGTGGTGGTCGCTAGACTATTTTGAGTATTTTTGACTCCAGGTAAATTATGCTCTGATTAAAGAAAATACAAAGAAAATAATGAATACTGCTGATATGATTTAAGCTGCAGTCACAATAGCAAACTTTTGGTGACATGTTGCATTCAGACAGGTCAGTTTTCAATAGATCTTGTGTCACAGCTCACACAGAAGACCCATTTAAACTAGGGGTGGGGGGTCTTTAGACACCTCATGATCCGATCCAAATTGTGCTTATGAAAATCACAATCTGATTCTAAATCGATTCTTAATCTACATTTTTTTTTTTTATTAAGTTTTTGACAGCCGCAGGTCTAATTGGCTGCAGTCACTTATACACAGATCAGTTTAAACTGTAACACTTTACAATAAGGTTTGTTAGTTAACATTAGTTAACTACATTAGTTAATATGAACTAATAATGAATAGCACATATACAGCATTTGTTAATCTTTGTTAATGTTAGTTTCAACATTTACTAATACTTGATTAAAATCTTGTTAACATTAGTTAATGCACCGTGAACTAACATGAACAAACAACGAAAAGCTGTATTTTCATGAACTAACATTAACAAAGATGAACAAATGTATTGCTCATGGTTAGTGCATGTTAGTAAATACATTAACTAATGAACCTTATTGTAAAGTGTTACCGTTTAAACAATACATTTGTTATCCTGTTCTTAAGAGAGAACTGAGTTAAAACATAACTGTTTACATTCATTTCACATTAGAAAAACATTTGGGGATGTTTTTTAAATGTACGGGATGTACATTTAATCACTTACACTGAGTCATACAGGCGTATGCTGAAAACGCCCATAAGAATCATGTACAGTGAAGTCTGCAATTCCCCTTGTATTTCAACGATGAAACCTAAGGCATGATTAGTTGTTCAGTGGTTTTGTGTGTGTTTGTGTTGTATCTATAGCACACAAGTGCCAGTTCGCATTTTTTGCAGGAAAAAAAATAAAAAACTAAGCTCAAGCCAAGGTTTCGAATCGTTCAAGATAGAATTGTGATATTTAGGGAAATCCATTCCCCAATTCACATGAACCAACTGAAACTAGCAGCTAAAATCTCTAACGTGTCGTCTCTTCTCTCCCACAGCTGTTTCGACGTGTGGCAGCTGCCCTTCCAGGAATGGAGAGCATGCAGGAGACAAGCAAAGAAGGCAGTATCCTTTCAGTGAGCTCAAAACAAAAACAATTCAACAATTCAGAACGAATTTCTGTAATCAGGTTACTCTGCTGCATTCTACTTAACATTCAATCGGAAGAACTGATTGGCTTTGTTTCAGTACTATAACATATGACCTCTAGGGCAATGTTTCCCTACTCTTTTTGTTTTATGTACTCCCACAACCCAAACCAGAAACCTGTTACTTTCATTCTACTTTTTAGTTACTTATATTCATTAATATTATTAAAGTCACTAAAAAACAATCTAGATTTTGGGTGAAAAATAGACCAAAATAGCACATACTGTATATATATATATACATATATATACAGTATATATATATATATATATATATATATATATATATATATGAAAAGAAATCGATAAAACCTGACACTTTTTTTAGTTTTAGTTTACTTGAAAAGCGACTGAAAAATCTTATTATTATTCTTAAAAGTCTGTTTTATAGACTTAAATTAGTTTTGGGTTGCATAGTTTTGTGTATGATTTTTGAGGATCGAGGAGTGTCAAAACCCATTTGCCCATTTACATTTGTCTAGTTCGGCTGTTTCTACCATGACAGATAGATTTGCACAGAAATATTTGCCTCTGACATCAACAAAATATGTCTTACCCAATTAAAAGTTAATCTACCAATTTTTTCTTGTCTAACTACAAACAAAGTTACAGTTATTTGAATTTTGTTAATTGTATTAGGCATCCGAAAATATTGCGGAAATTGCGGAAACACTGGGATGTTAGTCTCATCCGAATTGGTACATGAAATCACAGACGTTGAATGATAAGAATTGTAACTCAAACATTGTTTAAAGAACTTGTCCCTTCTGAATATGGCCTTTTTTGCAAAGTATTTAAAGGAGTAGTTCACTTTTAAAAAAACTTTTGCTGATAATTTTCTCACCCCCATGTCATCCAAGATGTCCATGTCTTTCTTTCTTCAGTCGAAAATAAATTAAGGTTTTTGATGAAAACATTCCAGGATTTTTCTCCATATAATGGACTTCAATGGGAACCAAACGGTTCAAGGTCCAAAAGACAGTTTCAGTGCAAAATGTTCAAAGGACTTTAAATGATTTCAGACAATGAATAAGGGTCTTATCAAGCGAAACGATCGTGACTCTCCTGTTCGAACTCGTTTATCAAAATGAATGAATCTTTTTTCGTGTCATTTGGTTCATTCAACGAACGAAATGAACAAATTGACACGGGAAAAGATACGTTCATTTTGATGAACGAGTTCGAACAGGAGAGTCACGATCGTTTCGCTTGATAAGACCCTTATTCATTGTCTGAAATCATTTAAAGTCCTTTGAACATTTTGCACTGAAACTGTCTTTTGGACCTTGAACCGTTTGGTTCCCATTGAAGTCCATTATACTCCTTTAAAGGCACACTATGCAGGAATTCCGTTTTTGTCAAACAGTGACCCCTAGAGTCGCTGTGGCGTTCTTGTATGTAATGTTACCGTCGTAAATACCACTCATGCAGAGCGTCTCTGTCATAGACTGGTCTCTGTAGTCACAACCTAATACCCCTTTATAGCTGTTATATTAGGTACAAATCTTTCATAGTGTGCATTTTTTGCATTAAATAAGAGATCTAGCGCTAAAATGTGTGTGAGCGCTCGTGTCCTTTGCTTTTAGTGTCATGGATACATAGTGTCTCTTGTGGCGGCATGCACGCAGTCTTCACTCGGACTTGCACTCGGCGCTCCTCTCAGTCTTTAATAGTCCAGGTTGCTGTGATCTCATGTGAGTGACAGGTTGTCCTACCCTCGAACCAGTAAATGCGTCATCAGAGAAGAGATGTTGTTGAAAGAGGGAGGGGAAGTTATTTTGATTAAAGATTAACTTTAAAGAGGACACACCAGTTAAAAAAATAATGATGTGCACGGATGAATCATTAATAATCAACACTCGAAAATTCCATTGAGAAAAAAATATTTGTCCATTCTTTCATTCTTCCATGATTTCATGGTAACTTTAATGCGCATAGTTTTGGTAATAGCTTTTGAGAACAAGGGCATGTAATACAACCTGTCCATGTTGACGTCTACCTAGTTTGTATAGCTTCTACGTGAAAATACTGAGTTTGATGGGCTCTACCAACCCGATCTCATGACCAAATCGTACGAATTCGGCGAATGATTAAAAAGTGGCTAATTCGTAACAATTCATACGACCTCACTCGTACAAATTAGTACGATTTTTCTAAATCGTACATATTTTACGAATTGGCCAATTCGTATGAATTCGTACAAATGACCTACCCCTTACCCCGCCCCTAAACCTACCCATCACGTGGGTTTAGACTAATCGTACGAATTCATACGAGTGAGGTTGTACGAATTAGTACGAATTAGCCACTTTCGAATTGGTCGTGAGATAGCGTAGGATCTACAGCATTTGACATCAATAGCAAAATATTGTGTTGTGTCGTCACCTTCCTTGATAAAAGTTGATATTAGAAAGTTCCAGTGTAATGTAAGTATCTAGTGGTCATTGTAGAACAGCTGTTCATAAGCATAATGCTGTAGTTTTCTGAGTGATCCAATAGAACTGTATACGCTGATTTCACGCAGCCGCCATTTTGAAATGGCTCCGGTGGGAAGGAAACCGGAAATGTCGCCATTAATCATAGGAGAGTCGCGAATTCGATTGCGTATTGTTGTGTTTAATGTAGAAATTAGTTTTTCTAAAAATGTACATACATTTCTTTCATACTTTAGACTATATCCGTCCTTCGGATGAGACGTTAAACCGAGGTCCTGACTCTCTGTGGTCATTAAAAATCCCAGGATGTCTTTCGAAAGAGTAGGGGTGTAACCCCGGCATCCTGGCCAAATTTGCCCAGTGGCCTCTGTCCATCATGGCCTCCTAATCATCCCCATATATATACCAATTGGCTTCATCACTGTCTCCTCTCCACCAGTAAGCTGGTGTGTGGTGAGCGTTCTGGCGCACTATGGCAGCCGTCGCATCATCCAGGTGGATGCTGCACACTGGTGGTGGTTGAGGAGATTCCCCTTTATGTAAAGCGCTTTGAGTGCCGAGAAAAGCGCTATATAAATGTAATGAATTAATGAATTATTATATAAAGCGAAATTTATAATTTTTTTAATATATTTTTTAATATATATTTAGAACATAAAAAAGAAGCAGAAACGAACTATATACATATCCAACCCGGTCTCACCCCAAGACGTCATATAACTGACGTTTTGGGACGTCTTTTGACCATACGTCAATATTCGCCTTTTTAGGGCCCCCTTAAACGTCGGTAGATGAGGTTATGGGATCCTAACTCTACCCCATACCTAAACCTAACCCTAAACCTAGCCCGTCACCTAACTGACGTTAAAGGTAAAGCGTCAGTTGTATGACGGCCCGGGACCGCCATCTACCGACGTTTAAGGGGGCCCTAAAAAGGCGGATATTGACGTATGGTCAAAAAACGTCCCAAGACGTCAGTTATATGACTTTTTGGGATGAGACTGTGTTAACATATCCTATATTGGATATTAACATCCAATAGTTTAAATCGCAGCAGCAGCTTCAGGTTGGTAGTCCAAGGCATTGTTGTCTATGTATCTGTAGTCCAAGGCATTGTATTGTCTACCGGAGCCTCGCTTTCGATTTCAAAATGGCGGCTGCGTGAAATCAGCATATTGCAGCTGTTAGTTGATAGTAGTTATAGTAGTTGCAGCTGTCAGTTATAGTAGCTGTCAGTTATGATCGTAGGCTTATATTCATTTATTTTGCCTCTTTTCCTTTTTTTTGACAGTGGAAGTCTCATTTACAGAGGTTAGGTTTTGGTGGGTAATATACTTCTTGATTTTCATCATTCATGTAATTTCCACCATGAAATTCAAACATTGGCCTTGCTTCACTCTGAGGCCAATTTATTTTACTCTCATTACATTTTCTGCCACATGCAGTCACTTATTAGTGGCAGCAGAAAGTCTATTGCTATGGTAACAAAAACATTTTTCACTTCATGTGTGAATAGGTTGGCAGCAGAATAGGATCAATTTTATATCCAGTAAGTTGACAAAGTGTCCTCTTTCTGTTTGTTTTGTGTGACTGGTCTGCTCTCTGCATAGTGCACTAGTGCGCACGTGTGTAGGCTATGTTTGCATGTGTGCAGTCATAATAGCACAGGGAGGCATTGGATTGGATTGGAGTAATGGTACTTTTGATAATTTCATAAATACAGCTGTGTTAAAATTTAAAGAGAATGTTACAGGTTGAAAGGTGATTTGATCATCTGGCCTGAGAGTAGCCTATGCAATATGCAAACCCCTCACTCCTAAACAAGGCCAGTTGGTTTCCTGCAGTTATAACTTTGTTTTTGTCAAAGCTCTAAAACTTGTAACTGGAACGATTCACTTTCAGGACATGTTAAAATTAAGTTCAAATTAATCTGGTGCATCATCCCAACAGCATATCATTTTTTGTGTGTGTGTGTGTGTGTGTGTGTGTATTTCCTATAAAAACCCTGCAATATACAACAACAAAAAATAATTGTCCATTTTGATTTCATAGTGACATTAAACATTATGAAATCTATGTAGCCTACTCACTTTGCTTTCACAAAACATTAATTTGTATGCGTGAAACATAGGCTTGTGACAGATTTAGTGAAATTAATTAAAAATATAATTTTACAAGGACACTATTTACCAAACTACACACACACACACACACACACACACACATATCACACTACTCACCACTTCGACATTTGTTCATGAATTCAAACGAGTCCATTACATTTGAGAGAGATGGTCGCAGCCATGAGCAGCTGGTGTGACTGAACAAGCATAAAAGCCCCGCAAAAATTCATTATAATTTCATGTTCCCATCTCTCAGGGACACCAGTTAACATTAATTTGAATGAGATTATGTTTTATGTTGGCAAGGAAAGAGACTTCGCAAAAAAAGGCTATGAGCTTTGTTTTGGATTTTCGAAAATGACCACTAGATGGCACCCGTTCTCTTTTTCTTGATGGACTTCAGTTAAAAAAAAAATAAAATAAAAAAAGCGTGGAAATAAGTGCTGTCAAAATAGCTATTATCTGCTAAAATTGCGTAACATAACTAAGAAAAAATCGTTTTTCCTATGCATGAAGCCCTTTGTACACAGGAGATGCCGTTTGTCAAACATATCCTATACTGCAGCATTTATGGCTGCAATTTCTCCTAATACCTGGAGGGATCAGTAGTGAGGCATATTTTAAGTTACACACACACAAAAAAAAATGCATTAAAAAGAAATATAATCTCCTGTCATTTTATATGGTTGGATTATTTTCCCCCTCATTTACATTTATGTTTGATGTAAATTTTATAATAAATAAAGTTTTTATTCCTTAACAGCATTCTCCAGTGATCGACATTAAAATGGACAGACCACAGGAACCTCCAACTACTGAGGGCGGCTGTTCCTGTTAATAGCTCACATCTTATTTACAGCATCATCTACACCACATGCTTGTTGTGTTGCTTCCTCTTGGTTAGCTTCCAGTTGTGTTTTCAGATTGGATATTTGGCCTTCCCATCTGACTTTTACTCACTGGTTGAAATCAGTGTTATATTAGTTTCAATTGTAAAATAGTATACTTTAGTAACAAAATTGCCAAAAATCCTAAAAATTCGAAAAGTAAAGGGCAAAAATCAACAAAAATGTCGACTATGTCTAACATGTATACTTTTTGAAAATGTAGAGACGTAGGTTTTTTTCTTTGTTTTGTATTTTTGTATACAAGGATGAGCACTAAATCAGATGCAGACAACAAATTCTATAATTTTGCCATTAAAAGCTGGATTAGGGCAAAGAGTTCAAAAGCAAGAGAGAAATTCAAACAACAAATAACCCAGAAAATATGGCAAACATGCATGTTAGCTATTTTTAAAGTATCGTCTCAATCTTGCTGGCTACTGTCCACAAGATTATGTGAATTCATACTTTTTTTGTGACAACGCAATTCATCAAATCAACTTGTTTTGATTTTTTTTTTTTTTTTTTTCTGTGACGCATAACTTGAAATTTTAAGTTTCAGGGCAGGTTTTTGTCTGTGTTTTTGTGATAATTTGTCATTGCAGATCCCCTGAAATCTTTCCACATTCTGTGTGATTTCCCCCACAAAATCTTTATGTACAGTTTATGTTTTAATTGCACAGTTTATTGAATGTTTACTGCATTGTTTTCAATATAATTTCCTGCTCTCAATGAAAGCAAACAGCTTGCAAACAAACTGATAACAAGGAAGGATCCTTTCTCCTGAAGAATGTTTCTCTTAGGACATTCATAGCGTATTGCAGGTAGTCGGAAGAACGTGACAGAAGAGCAAATCATGCACAACTAAACTTGGTTTATTCTAACACAGTCTCATCCCAAAAAGTCATATAACTGACGTCTTGGGGCGTATTTTGACCATACGTCAATATCCGCCTTTTTAGGGCCCCCTTAATCGTCGGTAGATGGTGATCACGGGCCGTCATACAACTGACGCTTTACCTTTAACGTCAGTTAGGTGACGGGTTAGGTTTAGGGTTAGGTTTAGGTCTGGGGTAGAGTTAGGATCCCATAACCTCATCTACCGACATTTAAGGGGGCCCTAAAAAGGCGAATATTGACGTATGATCATAAGACGTCCCAAAACGTCAGTTATATGACGTCTTGGGATGAGACCGGGTTGTTTATTCATGTTTAATTGATTGGAATAATTTGTTTGCACGCTAGAAATTTCCTCGCTGATTGATTAAACAGTCCAATTGTATTGTAAATATATCAGCTGTCACTTTCAAACTGGCTTTAATATTAGAAATGCAAAGATGGGACGTTCCTCCAAAAATAACTATAGTTCACTTTTAAAAATTAGCATTATGCAGCATTATAGTGTTTGCCTTGTGTAGGAACCCACTCATGTCTACAGCTGCTCTTTGGGCCAGTAAAGTGTAGTGCACTGACCAGGAGGAGACACATTGTGTAGTAGGCTATATATACATTTATTTGAAATGTATTTCATGTGAATCCTTAATGCACTTTTTCAAGAAAGAAAGATGTAAATGTTTCAAAATTGCTGTCAAATGTCTGTCTTTGAAACCACTTTAGAGTTCAAACTGTAGCGTAAATCTCTCGAGGGTCACCACTGTACAGATAAATTTGTAAAGTTGCTTCACATACCGCCAGATACAAGTCATGTCTAGCTATTTGTACCGTAGAAGAATACGAGTATGAGCAAACGACAAAAAGTGTCAGAAAGCAAGTGAAATGTTAAAATGACGTTTATCCTATTCAACCCAGCAGCTTTTAGTTGGAGTACGGTGAACTACTACTAGTGTAATTGACTGACTCATTCAGCACTGACTCATAAAATCCTTTGCTTTCTGTTTATGGATACTTTGGAAATTTAAAGGGAAAATCCGATTTGTCTGTGCCAACGCCTTCTCAGGTGCAGAAGGACGTCACTTAACGTAAGCTGAATGGGGCTATTTATTGGTTGTTGTTAAAAGACTTTTGAAGTTTTGTTTACATTTTTTTTCTTCACTTCTGAGAGGAAGTTCTCATGAACTGAATAGGGTGCAAATACGCCCCCTGGATGGAATCATATCATAAGTGTACCTGTATTTTCAGTAGTAATTGTGATCGACACAACGCTACATCAGCCTTGGGTGAATGTTTGTGCGTGAGTTGAGTTATGCTTTTAAGGGTGCAACCATTCCCTGTGTATATGTTTTAGCTCAGTGGAGCAAGCCTGATTGATTCAGAGCTAGCTTTACCATTCACACTGTATAGAAATCTAGCATGTTGGTCCAAATCAGTAAAATCAATAAAAGTGTCTTATTACCAAAAAAAAAAGTGAATATTGACCATTTCTTTTCTTTTTTTCCCCCCATATACTTCTCTCAATTAAAAACATATAACAACACACCAAAGAAATATTTTTCCATATTATAATGTTTAAAAAAAAGCCTTATTAATTTGTCAATATACTGTAGGAATGACTTCAGAAATTCCTTCATAAAGGATTATGTGACACTGAAGACTGGAGTAATGGCTGATGAAAATCCAGCTTTGCCATCACAGAAATAAGTTACATTTTTAAATATATTAAAATAAAATAAAAACGGTTATTTTGAATTGTAATAATACTTTATAATATTTACATTATTTTATATGAATTAAATTTATTATAAAACATTGTTTATAGTTGTTTTTTATCCAGTATGACTCTTTTTAAATGTACTGTACAAAAAAAAAAAAAAACAATGAAATATAACATAAATCATTTATGGGAAGTTAACGTTTATTAAGATCTTCTCAAGAAGTTGTAAACATGGAAATTAGCCTTAAGTTAGAACTGCTAAATTAAGCAATGACATCTTAATTTGGAAAGCTTTGCAAGACTTGTTAAAACATGTCGAAGCTTAAGCCACCGTTTCTGTGAAAACAGGATTTCATGGGTGTAGTGAAACTATTTACACTCTTTACTGAAACTGTGAGTAAATTTTTTTTGCTTGACATCATATCAGCTGTCACAGCGTCAAATTAGCAGTTATCTGTTTGACCTATATATAATATGAGGCCTGTAAAGCAGCAGCAAACTGGTGAGTTACGTGCCTGCGTTTACTGCAAGTATTAATGCACAGATCTTATCTTTTGACTATAACTGAGTTTTTAAAATCAAATGTCCCTACCCTTAATCTGTAATCCCAGCTTTACTGGTCGCTTTATTATATTGCTTTACTAAAATGATTCTATAATTCACTTTAAGACTGGAGAAACTGGAAGAACTTGAAGAAAGGGGTTACTCTCTGAGAAAACAAAGGAAATTAACATTTTGTTTTCTCTTGCTATATTACCATCCCCATTCGAGACAGGATCACACTTGAATTGATCACCTCCCAATTTACACATCATTCCCTTCACCCAAACAACTATGTTTAATATGAACAAATATCATTCAGTATTATACATGTTTGGTATCATTTGAAATGTCTCAGTGCGACTGGTACTAAGGTATCATTTTCACATGACGTTAAGTAAACCAAAAAGGTAATACATTGTGGACAGTTTAGAGATTTGTGTGCCCTCATGTAAATCAACTTCTGTCCCCAGTAAGTCTGAGACGGATTCCCTTTGAAAAGAGGTTTTTGCCTGGGTCTGAGTATTTAGGAAGATGTTGAAGGAGGCTCGTGGCGATTTGTAACTCAAATTAGCCCCTGATGCGGAGTGTATGCAGGCACTCCGCATCATATTTTATAATGTCAGGTTTGCATCTTTTCTCTTTATTCCAGAGCATTTGATGCTTTGTATTTATTATCTTTAAATTGATTATGAAATTGGCATGATACATTTACCTGACATTTGTTACATTGTTACATTTGATTTTATTCCGACTGACTTTGAAATTGTTTTCCCAAGTAAATGGATTCGTATGTTACCGCAAGTTTTGCATCAGGTTAGTGATGGCTAATATTTGGCACTAATTCAAGTGTACATGTTTTGCAAAGACAAGAAGTAAATTTCCATTTAGGTCAGCAAAAGTGCTGCTTGACCAAAAGGTGCTGCTTGACAAAAGTGCAGAAAATGTGATGCTTTGAGTGCGTCTTACCTTTTTAAATGTAATGTTACCTTAGATAAGTGTACGTGGGAAACCACGGCCAATCAAAAGCTATTATAAGACCAAGGGGGTAATCCATCTGCCGGAAGTTGAAGCCTCGCGGGAGCCGCCATTGTAGCAGAACTTCACTTGCTGTTAGCATTCCATTGACTCCCAGTCATATTGGTGTCACTTTGACAGCGAATAACTTTACATCGGAGGCATCCAAAGACTTTTATTTCTAAAGAAACGTATGTATAAACAATGTATAAAATTATCCATTACCATCCCAGCTAACAGGGAACGTTCCCAGAACATTCACTAACGTTCTTTAAAAGTTGTGTAAATGTTAGGACAAAACGTTATTAAAATAATGTTTTCGGAACGTTCATATAACATTATTAACGTTCTCGTAACGTTGAGAGAAAACGTTCTTAGAACAACGTTCTTGGAACGTCTTTATCACGTTATTTGTATTTGATGAACGTTCTCATTACGTTGATAAAAAACGTTCTTAGAACAACGTTATCGGAACGTCTTTATCAGGTTATTTGTGTTTGATAAACGTTCTCATAACGTTCCAGCAACATTATGCTAACCTTAGGATAACGTTCTAACAACATTATGCTAACGTTCCAGCAACGTTCTGCAAACATTAAGACACCGTTCCAGCAACGTTAAGCAAACTGGACATTTCCACGTTTTTAGAACATTTTAAATTAACGTTCCCACAACCAAAATGGAACGTTAGAAAAACGTTCTCAGAACCTAACTTTGTTAGCTGGGATGTATCTTATGGCCCTGTAGAAGCAGTTTATAGCCGCGTTTCCACCGCAATTACCAGGAACTATTTGTCCCAGGAACTTTTTTCACAGGAACTTTTTTTCCCCAGACCGCTTGCTTACTGCGTTTAGCGTACTAAAGTACCGGTCCGAGGCGGGAAGTAGCCTATGTTAAACTGCGTGCGACTGCTCTTCCTAGCCTGTGCGTTTGTTTTGAGTTTTGTATGGAGGAGATTCAAGCTTTGCTGCTTTTGTGTGCGAATGGTTTACTAACGAGGTAATTAACAAAACGGCAGAAAAGAGACGAGCACCCAAAGCGTATTCAGAAAGCTCGTAATGCTAGATATAAAAGTAGACGCTTTTTATCAGCGGACATGTGACATGGATAGGACGAACGCGCGCCATCGGGCAGAAAGAATAGCGTGGTAACTAAGAACCAATCAGCATTGTTCAGCGCACAAGTCCCACCCCGAAAGTTCCTGAACTCTGAAAAAGTACCACCGCGCCAGCAGGGACTTTCTGGGGGGGAGATTTTTACCCGGAACTTCATTTAGACCCTGGTTCCTGCGGTAACACACCGAGTACCACCCCAAAGTTGCTAGTTCCTGGTGGCGGAAGTAAATGTTCAATACGATTTCCCCATTGACATTTGGGATATAAGCCATAAAAACGTAACCATACATGGTAGACTTAAAACCAGCTACGGCTGTACTAAGCGATTGTATATGCTCATATAAACGCCAAAAGTTCATGGGGCACTAACCTTGTTTTAAGATAAATCCCTTTTATTCGCAATGTATTGGATAAGTACTTCACTACCCACAATCCTGAACAATCCCACAATCCCACAGTGATGCATCTGATTGGTGGAAGTCGTGTCACGTGTCTGAAACCCCGCGAAGGCGCGTGAAGACTGAAGATCGCATAATGACGTAGGCTAAGTTCATTGGTCGCACCTCAGAGACGACCCCGCGCCATTGGATGTGCACAACACAGCCTATGAGTGAGCCAGATGCTCAATGTTTTAGTATGTGCATAAGCTTCAGTAAATCGAGGAAAAGCACTATATAAATTCACTATATAAAATTCACTGGAGGAAAAAGTTCACGTGGCCGTCGTCAGATTTGGAAGTCACTCAAAAGGCTCTTTCACGGTGGCTTCAGTCGACTTTAGTGAGGCG